AACTGTTAGTCAATTTTCATAACAATTTTTCTGGAAACAACCAACCTTCCGGTTCGGTTACATAGCAAACAAAACTGCGGTTCACCTTCTCTGTGCCAGAAAACTCTTTCCTCAAAATTGTGAACTCATCTTCATCCTATGCATTGAAATAAACATTTTTATTATATTACAGTGGCTGCAAAATTTAGGTGTCGTTAAATCACAAATGATCAGTTGGAATACACACCTCAGCCGGGTCCGAGGCAGAAACATAAAGTGATATAACCTTAGGGTCAGTATTCATCCTAAGCACACTCAAAGTTTGAGTGCCCTTGTAATTCCTACTGTCCTTCTTGTGTTGCACACGAAATAGTGCTTTGATATCCATCAGGACATTGATCTCTGAAGGAAAGTAGTGAGGACCGAAATTTCTCTACTGAAAAACAAAGTCTAATTAGATGATTTAGTAGTTGCAAATGAAACTTAAGAGAAATCGAACAAAAATTGGATCAGTGTTAAACCTTAGCTACTTGTTCTTTCAAAGAAGAAGTTGAATGACCGATCAAACACAAAACCTCTCTGTCCCACAGTAGGAACGATGCATGTGACGTTTTGTCGACAACTCTTACATCCACCTTGTACCTATACAGTTTAAGTTTTGTAAATAAACAATCATACAATGATGTTTGAATCAAGATTTCCTCATCAGGTTCAGGTCCAACCTCAACACTGCATCATATGTGTTGCAAGTTATACACCGAAAAGTGTCACCGTTGGGTGACACTTTGAGGTTACATGCAACACAAGAAACGTAAGACCAATCTTTGTGACTCTATTCTAGCAATCTCTCTGAAAACCCAGTGTTTACCATCCTTAAAACAACAAAGAGGAAGTCAATAAGATATCAGGATTACTAAAAGTTTCAAAATTTGAACATACTTCTTCCATTTTTGTCAGTTGTTCAATGGTGACCAATTGGATCTGTCCACTGTTAATGTCTCCCTCGTTCGATGTATAAGAGGAAATTGTAAAACTTAAACCTTCCCCACACCTTTCTGCCATCCTGTTTCAAAAGCGATTGTTCACTTGTGTTAATCATCACTGGTCTTGGTTATTGGAAATTGTAGAATGAAACAATGTCTACCTCGACTTGAAGTCATTGAACACTTCCTCGCCACCGTTTAGAATGACCTTTGTCGTATTAAACATATTCGATACGTGCACTTGACCTAGAACCATATTGTGTTAGTATGAAAATCTAAGGATAAAAAAGATAACAAAAGAAAGAGTCACCTTGATATTTTCTTGCTCTGCAGCATTGCAGAAGCATTACAATAGGTTCTGTTGTGGTCAGTTTGTAAGTGAGCAGCAGTTCAACCATAGGACCCCAAAGAGTGCATGCGATAACATTACCCCTTAAAAACATGTTTTAGAGGGAAATCTAACAAATAATACCATCCCGCGTTATTCAAATTAAGATAGATTTCACTAACTCTGTATCTCCCAAGATGAGCTCAATCAGCTTCTTAGGACACTCATTCTTGAGGATTGTTTTAGGGTCTTTATCATGGACGACCTGTCCAATGATATCTGTATTGTCCTTAAATTTGTTAGCATTTCGTACCCAAAAAAAATTCTTTACATGGTATCTTTAAATATTTATACCCACCGATTGCGGCCTTATCGTCAATAACCTCTTGCTCCTGAAGAGTTGAGAACGACACCAACGAAAATGTCCTCAAAGGAAAGGGAATTTTAATCTCAAACGCCGCGCTCTTTTTAAAAACGCAGCCTGTAGGCACTTGTTGTGGTTTTAAAAAACATGTAGTTTTCCTCAACCATAAAATTTTTCACAGCGAAGATCCGCCCCTCCTGAAACAAATACTGGAATTTCCCAACGAATTGGTATGAAATATGTGCGTGTATCTTTGACCCCTGTTTCAAAATTTAATTGTTAAGAACGAACAAATGTATGCAAAACAAAGTTACACCAATAAAAGCCTCTTCATCATGGAAGATCACTTCCAAAGATGGTGGAAATCCATTGTGTGCGGGTTCACGATAAACCCTTGTAGCCCTTGCATTCATAACCCAAGTCATTTTAGTTTGGTCGATCTCTCGAATCAAAGACCACATCCCTACCATTTCAGAATAATCTTAACTGCTTTAGATATTAACCTTGATGTGTATTGGGGTAGGAGAAGTGATGCCTGGAGGCTCATTATACAGTGGAATGAGAATTCAAAAACTTGGAAACAATAAATAACGTTTACTATTCTAATTCCGTTCATCCAACTGAATTCACATTTTGACTATTCACACCTCCCAATTCAACCAATGAGATATTAGTATTTTCACTCTAACAAATCCCCATTAAAATTATACTTGCGAACGTTTTTACTCCTAAATGAAACAGTAGCACCGCATAATTCAGCCAATATATCAAACGGATTGTAAAAGTGAACACTGTTTTGTATAAACTTTTAACCATCAACAGTGATGACCACCCATTTGGACCAATAGAAAAAATCCGGACAATCCATTTTGTCAATCACTGAACAGTCTCAACAGTACCTGCCTCTCCTCTAACCAATGGGAACATCTATCTCAGCATGGGGCAATTCGTTGAACCCATAGTATACCTTCAAAAAAATATTTTGTATTTATTTTGTCAAATAAGAACACAGTATCTACAGGTCACCACCAATTTACACCAATAGGAACACATGCATGGGCTCATTGACTTTTTCATCCAACCGAGAGTGACTTCGTCAAACACATTTTTCCATCTGATTTTTTATTTTAACCAAAACCATCTAATACTCATTGATGTTGACATTTTTGGGAGGGAAAGCTGTTCATCAAAAATCTTTTGCTTTTATATTAGAATAGATTTATTATGTATCTACTAGACTATTATATTATTTGGCTTAATTCTTCTCATTTCATCTTCTTTTTATGTATCTCAACAAGCATTTCTTTAAATTTCACTCTTGCCTTCATTTCCCTAGCCGAAACTCACACTCTTATCATCATTATCATCATCATCATCATCATCTTCATGTACTTCTTTTTCTTTTATGCGCCTGCAATGAGAAGATGATGATATAATTCCAGAATCAATTACATTACAAGGAGCTTATACAGTTATACACTACAGAACATATACACCAAAATATATCCAAAACAATGTCACAACAAAATAAGAAAAAAGAACAAAATGAACATTACATCTCTACTTTTCTCTAGGCTAATTTAGTACAAACTAAAATAATATGAGACACTAATTTAACAACCAATTTGATAGGCATGCACTATTTTTCCATACCTTATCTGGTCTAATCCTAAAAGAAATTTGTATTTTCGAAGGGAAAGGCATCAAATGTTTTTGCATCATTAAATGAGATATTCATTGAGAACAAATTCTAGCTAGGGCGTGGGCTGGAAACGGGAAATCTAAAACTACAGCACATCTGTAGTAACTTGTAAAGCGTACATGGGTATTTGAGAAAAAGGTAAATGAATGATTTTCATACAAAACTTTTCAAAATGTAAAATGAGAAAAAAAATTGGAACATCCCAAAAGGTATGTGTGAAAATTTTATGGGACGGAGCAAGTGTGAAATATGTAAAATATTGTTATTTTTTATTCTCGAAACAGGAATTAACATGACAATATTTGTTAACATCTTGGAGTCATTATTGCCTTAATAGTTGCAGTACTAGGCATTAATGTGACATTATTTACTAATACTCACATCTTAGAGCCAATATAAATTTAACATGACGAAATTCACAAGAATAATCCCCACTTTTATAAATTCTACATTAATAATCCCCACTGAGAGTGTCCAAAAAAATAATCTAAATTAGCAATGGTGTTCATAAGAATAAATTGACGTGAATTCAAATTAATATCCGTTTAATACTTTCAACCCTTACTCCCACTTTTCTCTTTCTCGAAACAAAGAGCGGTGAATGAGAAAGTAGAGGTAGGAGTTGAGACTATTAAATGAGCATTAATTTGAATATATTCCAATTTATTTTTATGAACATTATTGTTAGGGAAAGTTCCCGAAATAGGATTAAAACAGTTTAAAAATTCCAAAATAGGACTGTCATGTTTTTTATTCCCAAAATATTAGTAATAACTGTCAAGTTTAGAAAATACTGTCATGTTTGAAGTCTGGTACTGCCAAAACATGGCAGTAAATATTCCTATTTTGGGAATGAAAATATGACAGTCCTATTTTGGAATTTTCAAACCTTTTTAGTCCTATTTCGTGTAATATTCTCTTATTGTTAATACAAATTAGTTTTATGGACACCCTCGATATGAATTATTATTGTAGAACTCATAAAAGTAGAGATTATTCTTATGATTTTGCCATTTAACAACTTTTATTTTGAAATGATAAATATAACAATATTACTTTGTATTTCAAAATTCTAAAATTTATTTATTTATATTTAGGGCAACATCCCTAAAATTTCCTAAATTTTATTATCCAAATAGTTGAGTTGATGAATCGGGATGAAAAAATTTCACTTTTGGTCCTATGACTATTATACCACTTCCACATTTAGTCTCTTGTTTTCAGATTGTCCACATTTAGTTCGTGACTATTGTCCCCTCACCACCTCTCGTCCTTCTGGCCAAAATTCCGGCAAATTTAGTCCACTTATCAGCTTCAGAATCAGTCTTTGCATTAAGTTTTATACAAGGTTGAGTTATTTATATCAGTCTTTGCATTAAATTTGGTTTTTTATACCTAAAATCTGCATTAAATTTGTCAGAATTTTGGCCCGAAGGACGAGGTGTGGTGAGGGGATATTGATCACGGACTAAATATGAACAATCTGAAAGTAAGAGATTAAATGTGGAAGTGTTATAATACTGTAATCTTTTCGGTAGGGATCGAAGTTTTGGAAAGATTTTGAGTATTGTAATAATTGCAGCAGGAGATTGGTCCATTTAATACTCCGTACTACGTATTATAGCTTTGCATCTTTCAATTCAGAGCAAACTGAGAAACAGAGAAGAAAGAAAGCTTAGATGGGGAGAGAGGAGGTTATTCTGAGTAACCCAGAAATATTCTTAGAAGAAGAGGAAGATGATGATGGGCCACCGCCCGGTTTCGATTCCATAGCTATAAACTCAAAATTAGAAATTATGGACGTTGAAGATGGTGGCGTAGAGGAAGATGAAGATGACGGCCCTCCGCCGGGATTCGCTGAACCACAGCCACCGCAAATGCTTCCACCGCCGCCTACTACTCCTCCGTCAACTTGTTATTCTGGTGAGACAAAGTTACGAATTCTCATCTGAAAATTCTGATTCCTTCATTGAAGGAGTACAATTGGGAGGGCAAACAAAGTTTGCAACTTTGAACGCCTCAGCTGGGGCGATTTTAATATTCTAAAAGTTCAATCAGCTTTAGATATTAGTTGCAAGAATGCTAACTGTAAAATTGAAATAGTATGATTTTTGAAAGGAAAAATTGAAAATAATAATCCTAACTATTGTCATTTCGCTAACAATAATCCCAACTATTGAACGTCCTCCAATAATGGTCCGACCACATATTACATGTTCTAACAAGTGAATTTTTAATAGAAATCAAGGGTAAAAATTAAAATTTGGGATTATTTATAGGGATTACCTGTTATATCTCTTTAGAAACTATAAGAATTTATTTATTGTCGGTCACGTCGGACCATTAGTGGCGGAAGGTCCCTAAAGTTGGGATTATTCTGAAATAATCAATAGTTGGGATTATTATGAAGCAATTTCCCCTTTTTGAAATAGTAAGTATGGTTTTTTTGGCTGAGATTGTAAACATGAATGATATGATCAAAATTGGTTCCATGAGAGTATATGGTTTGAACGGCTAGGAACAGTTAAAGATTTCCTCCTGACCACTGAAACTATTATAACTTTGCTTTTTCAATTGAACTTCTACATAGATGAAGTAGTACACATTTCAGATACACGTCTCTTAAGAAATAAGAAAATTTCAGATGTACACATTGGGAGACAACAAAATGAAGACAGGTCTCCATTGGGCTGGCATTCCACAAGCTCAAAGCAACCTCATTCATCAATGACTTCATCTGAACCTGTCTCTGGTAGGTCATTTTTCCAAACCAATGCACCCTTAAAAAAGGGCAGCCCAGTGCACAAAAGCATCCCCACTCACCCTTTTCTAACGGTATATAGCCTTTAGTTAGTAATCCCTTACCACTTATCTCCACAAGGTTAGTCATATTTGCTTACACACTAAGACTGTTTTCCTTTAACATAACTACATAACATAAAGATCATTTGCATTTATAAGTGTGGTGTGCTAAAACCAGAGATTTTGAAGCAAAACAGTCAACGTACCAGTTTTTTTTGCCATTTACACAATGAGAAGTGCAGGTTAGATCATTTATTAAGGATGTTTTTACTTGGATTGCAATTTTCTGGTCTGATCTGGTTTGCTATGGTCTGATCTGGTTTGGTATGGTCTGATCTGATAAACGTCCGGTCTCTTTGTATTTTATAACTATCCAAGTCTGGTTTGATTTGATCTGATCTGATCTGGGACTGAAAACAATCCAAGTAAAAACATCCTAAAGATTATACCTAATATCCCTTTGCAAATATATTCTTTCCTAAATACGCAATAATACAAGTTATGGATATTAGTTTGAGTTGCGGTGTCCTTGACCTGTAACAATTGACAACTTGAATTTAGATATACAAATGGGAAATGATCAAGAAGATGATGACGGCCCCCCACCAGGGTGGCAATTGAACCCCCAACAACAGTCACTGCCAGAATCTATACCACTGCCATTGCCCCAATCAGCTCCATCTTCTAGTAAGTTTCCCCAATCTCTGATTTCAAGCCCGTTTCGCCTTCCACCAAAGTCAATGTTGGCTTCTATATGAAGTTCATAAAACTTATTGTTATAATATTAGTGATATATTCAGTCAAGAACTACTTTGTGCTTAGATATAAAAACAGGTATCACAGTAGAAGATGATGATGGCCCACCACCTGGGTGGAATTTGATCTCCTCTCAGCAGAAACCACCATTACTGCCACAGTCACTGGCTCCATCTGGTGAGCATGATGATGGCCCACCACCTGGGTGGAATTTGATCTCCTCTCAGCAGAAACCACCATTACTGCCACAGTCACTGGCTCCATCTGGTGAGCATTGTTATAAACCCTTATTTTCGTGATTTATTTCTTTACTCCATGGTCACACAAACCACAGCTTCAGATTCAATATGCTTTAAACTGCATAGATTATTACCTGGTTTCTCTTTATTTATTTATACATCTGCACACAACTGTGAGCACCCTTATTTGCACATGATAAATATCTTTGATATCTCATTTCATCCTTTTATCTTTTTTATCTTTATTATGTTCTTTATCTTTTTATTTTATCTTTTTTTTTATCTTATCATATCTTATCTTTTTATTTTTTTTTATATTTTGAGCTCTGATTTCATATGTCAATTGATGTTAGCCAATCCCAAACTCTTTTGGGACTAAGGCTTGGATGTTGTTGTATCAACAACTCAGCATTAACTAAAATTTGAAAATGGGGACCTAGCCACCTAGGTATTCGTTGGTGGCATGGTTCGGAGTTGAATATGTTGTCTCTACTCTAGTTTATGTCAAAGTGGGAGAATTTTTATTATGTTGGGACAGATAGATACTCCAAAAGAATAAGTTGGCTATATTGTGAATGCAAAAATAGAAAGGAGAAACGGATTAGATTATACTTTAAGATTGTAGTGTCTTAGTTGGACCTTTTGATTATTAAAGATTAGACATTGTGACACAGGGCTGGTGGTTAGCAACATTTTAAGTACTGGGTAATAAATCTCATATGTATTCCAGTTATGTTTGCATGTAATGAATGGTCTGCGAAAGAACCTCTCCAAATCTTGTGGAACTTAATATTATTACTCAGGGAGGTTGACACAAATTCATCTATTAAGGCTTGGATGTTGTTGTATCAACAACTCAGCATTAACTAAAATTTGAAAATGGGGACCTAGCCACCTAGGTATTCGTTGGTGGCATGGTTCGGAGTTGAATATGTTGTCTCTACTCTAGTTTATGTCAAAGTGGGAGAATTTTTATTATGTTGGGACAGATAGATACTCCAAAAATATAAGTTGGCTATATTGTGAATGCAAAAATAGAAAGGAGAAACGGATTAGATTATACTTTAAGATTGTAGTGTCTTAGTTGGACCTTTTGATTATTAAAGATTAGACATTGTGACACAGGGCTGGTGGTTAGCAACATTTTAAGTACTGGGTAATAAATCTCATATGTATTCCAGTTATGTTTGCATGTAATGAATGGTCTGCGAAAGAACCTCTCCAAATCTTGTGGAACTTAATATTATTACTCAGGGAGGTTGACACAAATTCATCTATTAATTATAAGTACTGCCTGCCAACCGGTCTGTTACTTCCATCATATGCAATTTAAGTATGTTATTACTTGAAGAGCTTTTTTCTTGTTGAATCTGTCACTGCCATATAAGAAGTCTCACACAAGCTATTTTCTGGCCAACATAGATATTGAAAAGAGGAGTAATGAAGGAAAAAAAGGGGAAACTGAACGTCACATTTCATGTTCAGAATGGTCTTCTATGCCTGAACACACATCAACACCTACACCACCACTTCGCTCATCCTCATCCATAGCTTCTTCTGGTAAGTTCGGCTTCTGCATTGATCAATGGACGTTCTTGTGTTGGAATGGGATAAGCTTCAGCTCTTATTCATATAATAACATGATGCCCCCCCCCCCCCCCCCCCCCCCCCCCAAGAAAACATATTTCAAGAATTTATGTGTCGTGAAGAAAGAGTGATGTTTTAAGAGTCAGCTTTACTTTTTAAGCCTGGTTCTTGTAAAGCCATCAGCCATGTGGGAAGCAGTTATTAAATTACATGAAGCAATCTTTTAATAAGTTTTTCCATCATTTTCAATGGAGCCAAAGACTCACTATTTTTTGGCTTTGAAATATGATGGAATAAAGCAAAATGGCTCACTAAACTGTCTGCGCTTCTTTGTTATGAAGTAACGGTCAGCCTATGCAATTTTTGACGCGATTTTCACTACGGGTCATTCGGAAACAGTCTCTCTATGCTTTAGTACAGGAGTAAGACTGCGTACATCCGATCCCCCCTTACCCCACCGTAGGTGGGAGCTTTTGCGGCACTGGGGCAATGATGATGATGAATCTTTTAATAAGTTATAGGGATGTTTAAGTGACCATTCATATCTTGCTAAAGCTTGTAGTACACATACATTGATTGAGTGACAAAAAATAAAAAGTTGTACCCTACTTAATCAGGACTTTCCTCGGGATGGAGGGAGTACATCATGATTTTCTTCATCTTCATTGAATTTTTTTTCCCGATAGTCCCAACATATGTCACCTCCTTTTTCATATTATGCTAATGTTCCTAATCGCTTTCTAAAAGCTTGTAGGCCCTTGTAGAATCTTTAAAAGATCAGTTGGATACTATTTTACATATTTCTGTATCTTAAAGTATTGAAGCCATGTTATCATTTTTTATGTATACCTTATTGAATGATATAATGGCTAGGAATTTGGTGTAGCAGATATTGAAATGGCTAGCAAACAACAAAACAAAAACAATGAGGATAAAAAACTTTCCACGGAGAGAGGATCTATGCAACGATTAGTTTCTCAGCTCCCACCATCTATAGTGCAAATGTCTTCTGGTGAGATTTGTATTTAATTTTATTGTGAGTATTGGTGCAGATTTTTTTTTTTTGCATTTCAAGTATTCATTTTTATAGTTATTTCATAAAGAGGTTGGCCAATTGGTGTGCGGTACTTGCCGGCAGTTGCTTTCATATCCTCGAGGTTCTAACGTGGTTCAATGTGCAGCCTGCCAGACAGTTAATCTTGCTCTCGAAGGTTTTTATCTTCCCCTCTACTCTTAGAGAAGTATTTACTTATTTGTGGATCCTGTTAGTCTCCTTTGAAGATCAAACACCATGAGCCTATTTCACTTCAATTTTCACTAAACATTGCGTAATGGAATATGCATGGTGAATCTAAATAGCTTACTTGATTAGTTGATTATGTGAAGAATAGTAGAAGACCTTCCCAGCTCTCATCTTTTATGTAAAATCAAATGTCTGTGTGTGCAAGTAACAAGAAAATGATTGATTGATGTCCATCAGTGAAAATTTTTTCTGTATTGGATGGGATGGGTTGTATTTAAATGATTTTATAAGCATCACAAATGAACTAATGGATTGTTTTCAATGAACCCTTTATAATCCGAAAAATGTATATCCAATCCATCTATTTGTCACCCAATGATTGGTTTTGATTCATGATATTAGACTATCTATTATCCATTTCAACCATATATAACTAGTCTATTATGGCGATGAAATTGTTGCAACTGAGCTTACTCCTTGCACCCGTTGAAATTCACAGGTTAAACTGTTGTATACATTTCCATTGACCCTGGTCTCATTTCTTATGCGTAGTATTAATTAAAATTTGCATTCTTTTTGTACTAAAGCTCATCAAGTAGGACAAGTCAAGTGTGGAGGATGCACGGTATTGCTTATGTATCCATATGGAGCTCCCTCTGTTAAATGTTCTTCTTGTCACTTCACAACAAGAATTGGTGTAAGTGTATATTTTTATGCAGTCTACATAATATTTTCACTTTAAACAAAATAACTTTACAACAGTGCACATCCCCTTGGATTACAGGCACAGAACAGAAGACCTCATTTAGCTGCTCAGCAGGCTCGTAGACTGCGTCGTTCCCATCACCCACACTAATGTTAGTCCATTTTGTTCAAAGAGCTCTGGAGGCAGTCCACAGAGTCCTTCCTGATTCTTAGCAAATGGTTTTTTGAATGAGCATTGAAGGACAGTGCTCTTTTTTTGTGTGACATTTACCTAATATGTGTAAATAGTCTCTCTTATTGCAGTTCTGCAGTTGTAGCTGGTTTTAGGTGTTCTTGTGTAACATATACTCCGTATTAATTTAGATGTGAATCTTAGAGTACTGAATTATTTATTTATAAAAAGTTTTGAGTAGAGACTTGCTATTTATATTCTTGTGGCGTTATTATTTACTTTTCCTCAACAATAATAAAGATTTAGGTCAATGCCCTAATGCTGCAAAATGAACTTGTATCGAGATTTTGAGCACATTTGTATATTAAATTGCCTTGAATTCATAAACAACAAATTTGAACTTCTCCAAATTCAGAAAAATAAAATCAAAATTTGGTAGAACCCTGCATTATTAGAGAGCCAGCAAAAAGAATGGAGGAAAAACATAATGAGCAATTGTTTTTTCTTTTCTGCAAATCTTTATTATTCAAGTGAGGCCAGCTTCTCTTCATCAACCTCAAAAGCCTTCCTTGCTTGTTTCAGTTCCTCATTCATAGACAGCAATTCCGTGCATCTGCTAAGTTTTGGCAAGTCCTGAACAAAATCAACGTGCATCTCAATAATTAGTATATACATTACTAGCACTATTATTATAATTGACTTTTAGAATCGCATATAATGACTAAAGTACTAAACAAACAAGTGAGCATCCAAGGCATGAAAGCCCGCCCCCTACCTTGCGAATCAAAAACAGAAAATCCTCCGCCAAAAGCTTCCCTCTTTTTGTTGCAACATCCTGAGCTTTGTGCACCTATAGATAATGATTTAGGTTATGTTTGTAACTCAGAAACTGCTATAGTAAGGGGCAAAAAGGTGCTTGGTAAATTTGTTATTGTATATTCAGTTTTACCTTGGAAAATGAAAAGGTCAACGAAATTTGATTCTGTTATAAATAATTTACATGTATTTAGATTTCTTGGTCTTTTTATATGAGTAATAAGCATAGATGAGTATCAGCAAGTATCTAAAATACATTTAGTTATTTTTAGTTATTTTTAGCATAACATTTGTTTCCCTCTCACATTTTTTATGCCTCAATACCTCCCTCTATGTTCTGCCCTTTCCCCATAGCACTTTCCCGGGATCCAACAGACCCTTAAGAGTGAAAAGGTTGGTTTTAAGAGTTGAGAAAGGTAGAAGTTAAAATAGCAGGAAGAAAAAAAAGTTGGTATAACTCACCATATCTGTGACATATTCTGCCACAATATCCTCTACAAGTAGCATTGTCTCTTGAAGTGGCTGATAAAAATCAACAGTTGCCAGTTGGCAATAGATCAACAAACCAAAGAAAAGGTAGAATGAATCCATTACTTCTTATAACTGGAGAAAAAAAACTTGAATACACTATTGTCTTTTAGATAAATGCATCGGATGTTTAACAGATAACATTTTCACAAGAAACCATTAAAGGGAATTGGAAAATGAAAGTTTGGTGCTTTACATTACATTGGGATCATCCCCGAAGCCGTACATCATGTGCTGCACTGCACATATTAGCACACAATCACATATTAGCACCAGATTCTATATACTGAAGTTTTTTAGCTACCTTAAACAAGCAAAGGTATGAGAAACTCACAATCTTTTTGGAACATTCCACGTTTTCGTTTCAATGAACCATCTAAGGGATGGGATGCCCCCCCTGTTTTTGCTTTTGATGATGGTCCCGCTGCCGAGTTGCTCATTCTCGATGATTTTTTGAGACTGTAGTCACTTGTTGTTTTAAAAAACAATTTTTATCTATAAAGAAATTCATGATGTAGAAAATGGAACAGAGAGTGTGATAAACAAAAGTGTATGAATTAAGATCACTATTGATGAAACTGTGATGTGTTAAAAAAATTCTATCTTGGTGTCCTAAGTGGGGAGTACCGGAGTAGTTCTATTTGAAATGAAATATCCTTCATAGGTGTAAAAGGCTAGATTTTTATCATATGGTATCATTTACATTATAATTCAAGATCTGAGATCTACATAGAATCAACAACCATCAAATTGATTTCAATGTTCACAAAAAAGAAGAATCTAATAAACGAATAAATAAGTTCAATGCAAATGAAATGATAAAAGATTCTTATACCTGAAGTGCATCATAAAAAGAAATGCTTCTTAAATTTATGTTAAACAGAACAAATAGATAAAAGAATGAAGCACAAGAGAAATAAAACAACACAAGCCTTACTATGTTTATCTTGATTGAAATTCCAATGGAAATTTTGAACCCAAAAGACTAAAAAGGGGGGAGGGGGGGAATGAAGCTAATGAACAGGTTTCAGACAAAGCTTATTGGTAATATTTGCATAAAGATTTAGACTTTAAGCATACCCGGATCAGATTGAGGAAAATGGGAATGTGGATGATGGGGAAGATGCTCAACGTTGATCGAAGGCTGAGGAATTCTGCATGTGTGAGAAAGATAGAATTGTTGATATCATGATATAATATGCAAAGGGCCTTCATATCGTACAACCGGTTGTAATACTAGTTGTACGGTGTAAACGATTTGGTAGCATTTTGTAATTTTGAATTGAAAATCAAGACTTTATAATTGAGGGGTTTAATGCATCAAACATGTGATGTAAAATTTGGTAGCATTTTTATACAATTTAGAGATTTTGACAAATTTACTTGCATATCCAATCATCATAATATTAAGAAACATGATTTTAAAATTGTTATATTTATTCACAAAGAGGTTCTGCTCATGGATAATTATAACACATAGGAGTTTGACGCATTTTTTAAATCACATAGGATAATGCGCTGAATTTCTATATCACGAGGAGATTGATGTATTAAACTCGTTAATTGAGCATCAATGTAAATTGTATTGAACAACATGTCTATTTTTTTGAATATTAAGAGTCTAATATTGAATATCGTGATCTCTGCTTCATATCTTCTAATTTGCTTTCTTTTTTTAATTTTTTCTTTTAAAAAAAATCTTAAAGTATATCTAATGAATTCCAATATGCGAATCTACTTTAATAATCTCCCTATCCCACAAAACTTGGCAAATTTGACTTTTCTTAGTTCATGATAATAAACTTTGGATAATGATTTGGCTAAAGGGTCAAATAGGTACATGAACTAACTTAAAGTGTTCAATTAGCCTCTTATATAGGAGGTTCTGCCCGAACGTCGCCAATTGGGACGGTTCCCGGTAAAAACATTTGATGAAATTTTTTGAGCATCTTCTTAATTAAGTCTAGTTTACCCATATCAAATTTCAGCTAAAAATTAAATCGGGAAGTCAGTCAATGATTTTCGGAAATGTATTGCGCTGTTTAACTGCGCAGTTATTTTCAAAAAATCATTTGACTGCCTTCCCGGTTGAGTTTTTAGCTGAAATTTGGTATGAGTAAACTAGACTTAATGAAGAAGATGTTCAAAAAATTGAAATAAAATATTACACCGGGAACTTCCCCAATTGGCGACGGCCGGGAAGAACCTCCTATATAAGGGGCTAATTGAAAACTTTAAGTTAGTTCATGTACCTATTTGACCCTTTAGCCTAATGATTTTAGCTATTATATGTGTGAAATGTATAACTTTTATATTTCTATGAATGTACTTCTAACAAAGAACATTTTAATATAATTTTCATATTTGAAATAATTTCATATTAAAAAAATATCATTAGTCAAACTTGACAATCATTGACCAAGAAAAGTCAATATTACCAAGTTTTATGGAACATGGAGGTGGTATACTTTTGGCATATGCATTGATATGAAAATCGTAAGTTCTTGTAATTGAGCATTAGATTTTTTCATTGAGTATTAAGTCTTCTCTATTGAGTGTTGGAACTCTGCATTGTCTGTATCACGGGCATATCTGAAAATGCAGAAGTTGTTGATAATTTTATATAATAAGAAATAATTACATATCTATGATTAAAATAAAGATTATTTACAAAAAGATGACTAGTGACTAGAGTAATAATGAATGCATATTAACGTATGTTCAATATTTAAACCTGACTTACCAACATTGCATTGTAATAACTATTAGTCATATTTTTGTAAATGAGTTTTAGGCTATGTTTGGCAGACATAAGTCTCTGCCTTCTAGCTTTTGCACTATTCGAAAAGTCTCTAAAAGCTTGTAGTTGTATGTTTGACATGACAATTTTAAGAGCTTTTCAAAAATTAAAAGGTCTTTTTTGAGATGCTACAGGGAGTAGCATCTGGGAAAAGCCCGTGACTTTTAGTATTAATTAATCCTAACAGCTTGTATACCCAACCGAACTAAATCAAACAGTCAACTTATTATCAAACAGCTACCAACTTTTCTTTTTAAGATCTTTTCAGTCAGTAAAAGCTAACAGTTATTAAAAAGGTCATAAAAGTTTCTTTTAAACTAGTTGTGCCAAACATACCCTTAATGTAGTACTCCCTCTGTCCCTGAATTATCTTCAAGCTTTCATTTTTCGTCCGTCCCAAAATTATCTCCTCCTTCCCTTTTTGGCAAAAAATTTGTGGTTCACAATCATTCTTACACATTCTTACACATTTCTCTCTCCTCTGCACAACTCTCCACCACACAAAACTCACTATCTTAATTAGTGTGCCCAGCTGAAATGGGAGAAAAAACGGGGACGGAGGGAGTAATATTTTTGAAAGAAACCGTTACGGTAAATGATTATTTTACAGATAAAATGTGCGAAGGTGTGTAAAAAATTGATATCAATGTTTAAATCAAGAATTGTTTTGATATAAAAATTGAAAATCTCCGAAATAAATTCCTGTAAACTATTTACTCATTAGTGGTACTCCCTGCGTGTGTTGGTTGTCCTCTTCTCCCAGAAGGAAGAGAGGCCACTAAAGTAAGGGGAGCAACAATATGTTGAAATTTCTATCGAAGGTTAAGATCGAATTCAACGCGATCGATCCGCGCACGGCGTCATGTATGGAGTTCCTAGCCCAATGCAACGCCCCAAAGTCAAAGGAGTCCAACCCCGCCTGTCAAATTCAGGTGAAGCGCCGCACCGACGACTTCCCTCCCCAGATCACCGTCACATTCGCCAATGGCGCCGAGCAAACCTATGATGCCACTACCACCCCCGCCCAAACCATTCGCAACATGATTCTTGAGAAGGGTCAGTATCTCGAGACTGAGCAGATGTTCCGTGAAGCTGGTGAGAAGTGGCCCGTTGTCATCCCAACTGAAGAGCTAAACGAACCATTTATTGGAATTAAGGTTGAGTTCTATTCACTTCTTACCCTTCTATAATACGTAGTATCTTTTTAAAAAACTCAAGGTGTTGCTTTAGCTGGCTGGATTTGAATAGGCAAATCGTCAAACAGATTGTGTTCGAAATGAATAATGCAAAGATTGATCATTTATTACAAACCTACAATAGATTAGAGGCATACTTTCTATTTGGCATCCTCTTTATTTATTTATTTTTTTAAAATTATAGTCAAGATATCTATTTTCTCAAGATGCTATTCCTATAGTGTTAGAACCATTCATGTCTGCTCCACGCTGTACAAGCTGCAGAGGTTGCATAATTTCTCTTTTAGATGAATCATCTAGTGGTTTCATTTAGAAGTTTGCAAAGCATATTACCAAGGTTAATGGTGAAATATATAATACAACCTGATGCAACTTCATATCTAGAGTTTATTTTAATAAATGCTCAACTTGCATAATTGTATCTTAGCAATACTCATCCCATTATGCTCGTGTTTTATTTATTTGCTCATTTTCATTTTGAGCAATGATCATTTGAGTATAATAATACTTATCTTATATGTGAAGAACACTCACAATGCTCTTATGAATGTACTCTGGGCATGGAACATCCAGAGGTAAGATATATACTTAAAGGTTAATGTAATGGTAGATTAATCCATGATTTTGTTGAGCTGTCAATGTCTGTGATACTACTTTTCAAAGACTGTATTGTTCAAAGACATAGAAAAGGTTACATCATGATGTTCTAAAATCTTGATGCTTGGAGTTGTAGAGTTATGATAGCTTTAATTTGTATGCTTAGAATTGGATTAAACTTGGGTTCTATTCTTGTAAAGTTTTATTTTACGAGATTATGACACTATTTGCTTATACAATTTTCAACTCACTCATGTCTGTTTGTTGATATGATTTCTTCAAATTTGTTGAATGTACAAGTATCAAATGCCGTAGGTATGCATTTATGGGATTTTATGCTTCCCATAGTACAGTTACTCCATTAACATTATGTGACATCTCATGTGCTAATTTGGTTTCTTAGATTTTAAGACGACATGGCAAGAAAACATGAGCTAGCCTGGCTTGTTTTCTATTTGTTTCTATGCAGCCTGTATTAATCTAAATAATAAAGTTATCCCCTGGGCCTTTCGGTTTTACTTTTTTCATGTACCAAATACATTTTCTGCATATATATGTCTTATAATTTTTCATGTATTGATGTATTCATAAGACTTTAATTTATTTTTGTACGTACTTCTCTTCAGCCACGGAAAGCAGAAGAGAAAAAATAGTGACAGCCATTGGAGTTGTTCTTTGATTAGTTTTTCATCCGGATAACCCCTCAAAGTGGAGAAGATGATCCAGCAAAGAGGTGTGTGTTTTTTGGCATGATAAGTTAGGTAGTGTGTGTTACCCCATCTGTTGAGGACAATAATACATTTCAACTTTGCATGTTTCTGGTTTTTTCATTTTCGAACTAAAAATTCGCTTTTATTTCTGACTTTCTGTTTTCTTCTTATAGTTTAATTAAATTTGTGTATTTCCGTGATGCTTTTAGGCTCAATAGCTTTATGCTGCAGTGCGTTATTGTACAGCACAGTTCTTTGGGTAATCAATTAACATTTTTATTTACCTTTTAAATACCAAATGTGACAAAATCTTATCAGTCCATATGCGATTTGGTTTGCGGCTTGAGATTGTACTTTTAAATTGGTCAGGTAAAAAAATGTCAAAAAGAACTGAAATGGTTGAAAATATATGAACCAAGACTGACCAAAGTTGAGATCAATAGCGTGATACTATGAAGTACGAACAAAAGCCAACTAAACCTTTTACGGCAGCAAATAACTTTCTTAAATTTCGAATTGGGAGATCATAAAATTAATAATCTATTCAATTTATCTATGTTTTTGCCAACATTTCTCATTTGGTTGCTATGTTTGAATCCTAGAAAGTGTTGTCGAAAGGACAGAGTCATACGACATGTATAACTAGTATAAGGATAGGATTTCTTAAGTTCGGATTTACCCATGGAAGGTACAAAGGAAAAAGCAATACTCCGTGTGATTAGGGATGGACCCGGCCCGGTTCCAGTTCCGAGCTGGGCTCGGGCGGGCTTTTTTCCCAGGTACTTGGGCTCGGAACCGGCCCAGGTTGATACCGGGTCCGGGCCTAACCGGGTTGGGCCCGGTTCAAGGTTTAATTTTTTTTTGGCTTTCTTGTTATCCCCCCTCACCCCCACCCCCAAAACACCCAGCCCTACCCTAGTAAAAGAAAAAAATTGAAAAAAAGCCTGGGACTGGCCCGAACCACCTGGCCCCGGCCCGAACCGCCCGGGCCGGTTCAACAAAAATGGGGCTCGAGCCCGGCCGGCCTGCCAAAACGGGCTAAAAGCCCGGAACCGGGCAACCGGGCCCGGGCCGGGTCCGGGCCAAACGGTGTGATTAATGTATTATTTATTTGTTACATATGTTTAGATTACTTAAATTTTACGCAATAGAGATAATTAAGTAAACATAACTTTATTGAGTTCGAAATAATCTAAATTTTACCTGAACAAGTCGTTTTCATTCATGCTTCAAAAAAATCCTTTTCGTTCAAATTTCTTCCATATTTCCGGTATTTTTTTTTCTTTCCTTACTTTTTTCTTGTACCAAATGGTTCTGAATTCTGATGAAAACGTGTAGTTTACTAGGTCTATCCCAACCAACTTTGCAACTTAGAATGCATAATGAATGACTGGTGATAAATTATTTCATCAATAACAACTTTTTATAATTTTATGCATCATGGATATTTAAAACTTAAATGTTGAAAACTAAATTAAATGTTCACCAAGAGTCCAAGATACAAAATGTTTCAAAAAAACGAACTAAATTGACCAAATCCTTTTTACTTTGATATCTGAACTTGATACCAAACCGTACTAAAATCAAACCGAAACAACAATGATTTTAGTTTAGTACAATGTAACAATACATCTTAAATCTATTAGATCAAAACTGAGCTGAAGCAGATAAAAATCGAACCGTAAACTGAATTACCCATCCCTAGTTACATTGGACTAAAAATACTCCATATGACCATGAAACAAAGAAAAATATACTCGGTATTTCATATAAAAAGTGCTCTTGTTTTCGTATAATAATCCCGTATTAGTTTATGGGAAAAGGTGTCATTGTCATTGTTCCTTGTTGGGCACACACTATTTTGTATAAAAGTGTTAACTCACCAACGAAGTGTGCAAAATGAGAGGGTGTGTTACTGTGTGAGTAGTGTGGGAGATGATAAAATGAACAGTTTTCCATTATAAATAATGATCGTACATTCAGCTTCCTTGTCATGCAACATAATTGAGCAGAAAGCTCACTTTGTAGCAGATTGCCGGGTATGATATGAACGCAGTACAAAATATTGAAATAGCATATTACAGTTATTACTAAATAAACAAGATAAACCCCGCTCAGCAGATTTTCTTTTCATGTAATAATAACTTCTGAATACTAATTCCACATTCATATTCACATAACTATACAAATAAGCCTTTCCCTTTACCTGTCCCCAAAATAATATTTATAGTGGCTGTTCTGAGTCCAGAGAAATTTTTCTACTTGAGATAAGCAACTGTACAACCGTAATTCATCGGGCTTTGTTCAAGCTTAGCGACACGTGGATGATCTCTCAGCAACTTCAACACCAAATCCTTAATGACACTTGTCCCCATCCCGTGAATAACAAAGAGAATGGATTTAGGCCCTCTCGTGTCTATAGCCATGCTAAGTTGGTGAGAAGCTTCTTCCACATGCATCCCTCTCAAGTCAACTGTGTTTCTCGATGTCTGCAGGAGAGGGCCATAAGAATCCTCATCCTTGTAGTTGGCTGCAATCAGGCTTCTTAGCTCCTTCAGATTATTCTTCATCCCTTGTTGACCCTATACAAAATTATGCACGAGTACCTTTTTTCAATTTTGATATTGCTTTATCCTCTACCACATATGAATCACAGATAGCTGATAAGTACCCTCATCAGGTGATTATACACGTGAAGTAGCTTTTGACTATTTGGCTGAAATTATTCTTATGAATGTTTTTCCTTTCAGAAAATTATAATGAAAGCTATTTCAGCCAAAAAAACACGACCAAAAAGGCCCATAGATAAATAGATTGCATTACTGACCTGCTTTCTTGAACTCCGGACAGAACCTATTGCAGGATTGGCTACAATGGCTCTTATATTGCTTCTATCTACACGAGCTCGAATTTTTCCATATTTGACAACAACAGTTTCATCATCACCGGGCTCTTCAATAACAGTAGCCAATTTATTCCCTAAACTCTTGACACTCACTTGTTCTCCTAACCTTGGGGTATAAAACTCTCGGCCTCTTTTACTGGCAAGTTCTTCGAAAGGCTGATGAGCTTTAACTATGGATGCAATCACAGACTCTGATTTCTTAATGAGTGAATTGACCTGATCAATTCTAATAGTCTTGAGTTGCTTCTCAAAATCCTTCAGTACAGCTTCTATCTCCATCTTCACAGCCCTTACTTCTGTTTTTGTTTTTTGTGTTTCCTTTGCCTTCAGAGCTTCTTCTTGTTCCTCTAAATACTGTGCCTCATCTCGAATCTTCACTTGACAAAAAGTATTTTGAAGAGTGAAACAAGTGTCTACTGTCTAGAGAATGTTGCGACTTGTGATAACTTATAACTTAAGTACTTGTATAAGAAGTGTTTTTTACTACAGAACTAGCCATAGATTTCTTTGGGGTGAGGTGTAAAAACGCTTTTATAGATAAATACTTAAAAAACCACCACATTTGGAGCTTTTTTTGTTGAAAGCATTTTTAATATATATAAGCTTAAAAGTAATGATATTCAATTCAATAGTATCAGTTTTATTTCAATAAAAGCAGCAGCATATTTCTTTAGAAATACAGATATTATGTGTTTCAAAAGTCATCCTAAATTTAAAATAAGCATTAAAAGTTTTTTTATTATTGAATTCACTGGTTTCCATTTCTTTACAGAGCGCTTCTCTTGATGTATAAAGTACTCCCTCTATCCCATATCAATTGTCACTTTATTAAGTTTTAATAAAGTGATTGAAAAGGTAAAAGATGTGATAGAGATTTGAGTAGAAAAAGATGAAATGATATGAGCCACATATTATTGCCAAAAGAGGAAACAGTACAATTATTTTGGGACATTCCAAAAAGGAAAACACGACAATTATTTCGGGACGGAGGTAGAAGCATTCTTCCCTAAAGAACACTTATGTTAGTCATCCCAAAAAAGCATTATGTTAGTTGTACCTCATGGAAGAGATGCACAGCATTTGAATAAAGAAAAGCAGCTTTCTTTGCTTGGGTTTCTAATCTGTCTCTTTCTTCCACTAGTGACTGGAAAAGAAATCCTTTTTGCTCCTGCTTCTTGTCTAGCTTGAATTTGTTTACCCACGATTGTGCCTGACTAACTATCCTTTCATCAAACCCAATCGACTTAGCAATGGTCAAGGCATTTGACTCGCCAATATTCCCCCAAAGAATCCTAAACGCAGGATGCAGAGTATCCAAGCAAAAATCCATTGCTGCATTACAATACTGGTCGTCCTTCTCTTTCAAACGTGTTAAATCACTGTAGTGGGTTGTTACAACTGCTAAATTAACTCTTTCTTTGAGATATTGCAGTATGCTTGTTGCAAGTGCTACACCTTCCGAAGGATCAGTACCACTGCCGATTTCATCAATGAGAATGAGAGAACTTTCAGAAGCAGCTTCCAAGATCTTGCAAATCCGTGAGATATGCCCGCTAAAAGTTGAGAGACTTTGTTCTACAGACTTTATAGAAAGAAAAAGAGAGTTTCATGTCAGCAACATACAAATTATTCACTAAATAACTATGATAAGTTTATGCAGCACAGATACGGTGATACAGCAATCTCAATAGATATAGGTTCGAGCATACACATATTTGCAAATATTAAAATATTATGAGTACTTAATTACACATAGTTTTTCTGCAGATGGAAAAACACAAACGTTTATTTTAATTATAATTGAACTCTAATTTTACAAAAAGTTACCGAAATTTTACAAAAAAAATACTCCACAATTATTTAATTTATTAAGTACTGCTTGGTCTATTCTTGAAGTTTTGTTTAGGGTATAACTTTAACTCCGGAAACCTCATGAATAAATGGGTCATCTTTTAGCATTTTGTCACTTGATATGCATTTTGTCTAGGATACGCGTCCTCGGACTCTCAAGAATTTGCAAATACATATCAAATCTCTTACGATAATTTAGAAACACTGTAGAACGTACGATAGACGTTTCCACACGAATGACACGAGAATGTTTTGAAGAACAATTTTGCATAGGCTGATACAGGAACTATACCAATGCTACATATTGATAACAATTATGCCAAGATAACACAAGAAACAGAAGAGCAAAGCAGAAACAGTTTGTGACTAGAATAAAATAAATAAAAACAGCATAAAGAGAAAGTGAACGAAGCAAACACCTGAGTATCACCTATATCCGCCAGAATTAGATCAAACCAGGGAAGCCTGGGCTTATTTTGAGCAGCTAAGAACATGCCAGCCTTGAGCATAACAGAAGCCAGACCTAGGGTTTTCATCGTAGCAGTTTTCCCTCCTGTATTAGGGCCTGATATCACAACCACTCTTTTTCCGTATTCAATTTTGATATCAATTGGTGCAGGAAACACATGAACAAGCTCTAACGGATCCTTCCTCAGATCTGAATAAGGTGAAGTTTGGGATTTAGATCTTACAAGATCAGGCAATCTTCTCAAGGAGCGTTCAAGGAGCAGAGGATGATATATGCCTTCAATATCCACAGCTAAATTATTATATCCTTTTGAACTAAGAGCTGGACAGACCCCATCCATCCAATGAGCATGAGAAGCTCTGGCAAAAGCAAAATCCATTTCTAATATCCGATCTAATAGAACTTTTATCTTCATTTTGGATAGAGCGATTTCAGATGTAAGCAAACTCAACACGACTTGTTCCTCTTTCCTCTCAGAACTTGAAAGCTCAACTTCCATGTTATTCAGTTCAACTGCTGCTTCAGGTTCCATAAAGTATGTTGATCCGGTACTGCTAACATTTAAGATCACACCATTTGGGAGCAAATATCTGTGGGATGCTCTAACACCAACACACATCCTTGATCGACGTTTGGTTACTACCGCTCTGTCAATTCCACCAGCCTGAAAAATCCTAGATGACACCTCCTTCAACATCGATTCCAGATTTTCCATGTTCCTTTTTCTTTTGGACCTCACAATTCTCAATTCTTCACTAGCTCGATCGAGGATTACTGAAAGATCACAGTTGATACAGATTTCTAAATCTTGAGCTAGTTCAACAAGAAAATCACAATTTTGAAGAATTCCAATCAGTGGAGAGCACCTGCTTGGATAAAATACAAATAACTGGAACACAATGAAACAGCTAATCGAGTCCCCATTCAAATGACTTCTTGCAACAGCCTAAAAGCCCTATTGAAAATACAGTTTATAGAAAGTAGAAGTTCAACTTGATATGAAATAATTCATTTATTCATCCAAAACCAATATCTTCAGAAACCATAGAGACCCATCAATGTTGGGTGGTATTCCCTAAGTTCAATCAACTGCATGTGAAGAACTTGTTGCTCAGTTTAGCTCGTCTTTTCTGAGACGGGTTTCAATTCCATATACCTCACTGTTTTTAGGTAACCGTTATCTATATATTACTCTAAGAGCAAATAAAAGATGCCATGTTGAACACAGCCCTAGTTGTATGCAATGTATTAAATAGAAAGGAATATTCCTGATTATTTTCCAAATTAATTACTCGCATATCATAAATGTTAAGCTGTTGAATATTAGTCATCCCAGCAACAAATAAGGCATCAGATTGATCTCAATTACGGAGTATTAATTATTGAAAGTTTTTTGAAAACTACACAATCAGTACTTCAGTAGAATATGTCTTTCTCATAAGCGATTAGGCATAGCACTGAGGGCTGTGATTTTCAATTGCCAAAATGAAAAGAAGAACATTTCACAATGAAAGATTAGGCATAGCACTGAGGGCTGTGATTTTCAATTGCCAAAATGAAAAGAAGAACATTTCACAATGAAGAGAACATGCCGGCCAAGCATTTGATTTTTATGAGTTATGACCTCCATGTAGAACAGTAGAAACGATTCTACTGTTTCTTATCTGTCCGTTTCTGGATTATGTGAATATTTAAGAATTCATATGAAGGCGAGAATTTTTTTTATTTACATGATGCACATTCACTAGAACATAATTTGTCATTTACACGCGCATCCAAAAGAACTTCCAGATGAACTGATTGATAGGCCATGCATTCGCCAGAAAGCATACTTCAAAAAACTATTGTGAACTGCTAGATGGAAAAATGCGAAACCATACATCCATTAATCCATTATATATCCGTATCTACTAGCAAACGCATTCCTAATCGCCTTCTTGTACCTGTCACGAAATTCATTTTGTGAAGACATCTCCTCCAGTTGTTTGAGCAATGATCGGGCTGCTAAGAGAGTTCGTTTCACAGAACAAATCTCATGAATGGAGAGTATTTGACCGGAGACGGCGGTATCGACGATGTCCGTGACGTCATGGATTCCGGAAAAATCCAGCCTCTGAGGAAGAGCGAAGGCAGCAGAGGTTTGCGCCAGGAGCCTCAGGCTCTCCTCCGGAGAGCTTCCCAACGGAATCCTTGAGGAACGGGCTGCGGAAAGTCCCATGGGAGTGGAAGTGAAGGCTGCGAGCTGGGAGCAGACAGCGGGCCATTCTAGGATCCGGAGCGTTTCGTACTGGAGCAACTCTGCGAGTGAGACTCCGTGAGAATGAGATGAATAGATAGAAAATGAGACAGAGCACTTCCGCGGACGGAGGGAGAGAAGCGGCCGGCGAGTTGGACTATCATAGAAGGCGGTGAGGTCGCAGCAGCGGAGTTTCATAGAGGCTCAAAGTTTGAATTTCACGGGTCACAGCCTCACAGGTTTTATGTCGTTTATCTTATCCGCTTCGAGGGGGACGAGAATCTAGTGTAATTTGAGCGTTTAATGAATAATAATGTATCTACCCGCATGTAGCTCAGTTTGGTCGAGTATCCGGAGATTTGTAACAATGGACCAATATTCGAATGACCGGTTGGAGGTCACAGAACCTGAAATAAGGCTGAGCGTGCACACGGATGTATGGACCTACTATCATTCTGCTGACTGAGTCACCGTGACTAATCTCCCCACCATCCTGTCGAGTCGGGGTAGGGGACTCCTCGGATAAGAAATTTCATCTTGGAACAATGAATAATAATGCATTGACACCAAAATTTGGCGCATTAACTTTACAAAACAATTTTGCAAATAAAATTAACAATTTAGAATTTACTTTTCATATTGTTACGAAAAAATTATGAAGATCATTGTTGTTAATCATTCTTTGACAATTAAATTTAGGGTTTTTTCCTTCGTTATTACCAAATTAAAGCTAATTTTTAAAACTATGATCATTTTTATAAAATGACAAAAATGTGATCAAGAAGATCACATATTTGGAATAAGATGTCACTGTATTTTTATGTTACTGTCAAAATTTTATGTCACTTTTATATGTCACTTTTATGTCAATATCAGATTTTATGTCACTTTTGAATGTAACTACTAGATTTCATGTCACTTTAGAGTCTGACTACAATCGTGAAATGTGTCACTATATCGTCGAAAAATTTTCCGGTGACTTTTTCCGCCGTCCCCGTGACCCGGCCAGAGTAACCCCGACCAACACCAGTTCACCACCTCCATCTACCGGTCCACCCTCCCAACCCCAAAACCCCTTGCCTTGCACTATCCCTCTGCCCCCAGTGACCCCAATACCCTAGTTATCACCTCCCTATAGCCCCTGCCCAGGCCTGCCAACCACTTCCCCTCCCCCTGCACTAAGGCCATCTCCAACAGTTAACACCATTTTTTACACTAAAATGGTGTAAACATCATATCAAACAATATTTTATCTCCAACAGTTTACACCATTTTCATCACCAAAAAGGAATATTCTCTTTTTATTCTTTTTACTAATTTTTACCATTCTTCTATTTAAGTATCTAACTATCTTATATTTATACATTAGCCCCTCATTTAATATTTTGACATTTCGCACATTATTTCACACATACAAACTAAAATACATCATTTTAATATGTATTTTCACGCATTTCACTAATTAAAACACAATAATCAATATTTCACAAATACAAGCTAAAACCACATAAAATTAAACGTTACAATAATATTATAATAAATTGTACCTCATTATTAAAGTACTACTTAAACTTAAACCAATAGATTAAATAAATATTCTTAGTTTAGTTATCAGAATTTGAGAATTGTTGTACAAGGATGTTTTTACTCGGACTGTAATTTGTTTCAGATCAGATCAAACCGGATTAGACCAAACATGGGTGGTTATAAAAATACAAAGAAATCAGACCAGACCACATCAATTCAGACCAGACCAGACCAAATCAGACTGGATCAATAAATTTCAGTCCAAGTAAAACTTCCTAATTTGTTGTTTTAAAAATGGGTCAAAACTGTAATAACCAAAACTTTGGGTCACATTTGAAAGAAAAAAAAAACACAAAAAAAGGATAGTGCAAGAGATGGCGTACGCCATATATAGTGCAAACCATTCCCCCCTCCCCCATTTTGGTGTAATGGTGTCAAGTTTGGTGTTATTGTTGGAGCATGTTTTTGCCAAATACACCATTTTGGTGTTGAAGATGATGCTTGTTGGAGATGGCCTAACCACGCCCAAGTTTGCAGCCCCCTGCAACATCCCTTTGTAGCTCCACCGACATTGTTTCACAGCCCACAAAGTTGAAATCAGGTTAGCCACCAAAATCGACGTCAGATTAGCCACTAAAATTGACACAAAATCAGCCACTAAATCGCTGCCAGTTCTATCCCAACGCTCAAAGTCGCCACCGCCGGATCTGCACAGTCTCCGTTGTCCATTGCAGCGTGCGTCCTTGTTGTCTGCCAACCGTCGCCGACGGATTTGCGAAGCCACTGGTTTAGAACCTCGTTTTCGTCGTAGATGCGGAAATTTGAGAAACTCCGATCGGTGGTTGCGGTGGTTGAACGGTGGCGGCGACGGAGTGGGTGTGGCGGTCGAAGGTGAGAATAGAGGTGTTGTGTGCGGGATGTGGAAGGATGAGGAGATGGTAAGTGTTGTTTTCTGCATCGGCTAAGGAGTAAGGAGAACAGTGAACCGAAACGGAAATGTGGAAGAGAGTTGCGGAAGTTAACTCAGTTGTTTGTAAAGTTTAAAATCGGTCATACTTTGGTCGATCAAAACTTTGGAAGTAACATATTTGCCATTTATTCTTAAATTTATTCATATAAGGGATTTTGGAAATTATTTAAGAGCTCTTTGCTATCAGTTCAATCTAATCGCTCATTTTAGTAGTTTATAGGTTAACTTCTGTACATGAAACGATTGCATACAAAATTTAGATAAGTAATCATTTTACACGTAAAATAAATAATATTATTTGACTAGATGTGTAATTTATTTATTTTTAATTCGCACACAACAATTTTTAATTTACCCTCAATGGCGTTGCAATGCTTTGTAAAAAACATGTAAAGTATTTTATGACCACCCATACCAAAAATATTATTCATGATACAATATGAAAATATTTTCAAAAAGTGTCCTAAAATTTACATTAAATAATCAAGTAAAATGGTATAAACATTTTTACGTTCTTACACTTTACATGCAAAGTAAGTATTTTACATCCTACCAAACTCACTTAAAACTAAGGCTATGTTCGACACGAGCTCTCAACGCTTAATTGACTGCAACTTTTCAAATTCATTTAATAAATTTAAAAGAAGTCTTGTTCAGAAAGAAGACTAAACTGAGCTGAAGCTGGAAAAAATGGACTTATTGAAAACGTAGTGTTGCTATTCAGCCGTTCCTACAATATACTTCCCTTCCTAAATTAACCCTGCAAGTTTGGAACCTTTCGTATCCTTCCCTTTTGTGTTAAAATTCTACGGTCATATTTCAATCCCAGTCATCCTAACTCTCTTTGCCGCTCATCATCTCCACTCAAGAAGATGGTGGACCAGGCCCGACCCAGGTGCAACTGGAGCAACTGCACATTTTTTTTAACTTTAGTAGTATACCTAGGCCCAATTAGTAAAGAGTAATACAGTCTAATCCAACAGAGCATTGAGGAATCCTGCATAGCCTTCCAACTTCCGTCTACGTCTTCAGCGAATAATGGGTACTCGTACAAATGGAGAAATCGAAGCGACGAAGCCATTTTCGAGGAGACCAAGATTGCGATTTAAGCTGCTACGAAAACGTCAGAAAGGTATGAAATTTAATCAATTTCTTCTTTTTACCGTTAGATTTTAATGTTAAATATCTTTTATTCTTCATTTATTCTTTATTCATGGAATGGAAATACTATGATTAAATTTTAAAGCTTTCGGCGGCATAATTATTGAGCACGATTTAGGTAACAGGTCTGAGTTTGATTGTGATCAAAGGCCTGCCTGCGAGTTATCAAGGATTCAAGGCGTCGAGCTGGGCAAGTGGGCAGCACTGCAGCAGGAAAGCTGAGGCAACCACCAACCAGATTTCAGATTTGAGAAGAGTTGAGGACTTGAGGGTGGGCACTGCCGGCTGCCGCACTAGCTATTCTGTTTTAGGATTTCAGCCAGCCTCCACTCCTTCAGGTGTTTTTATTCTCAGTTCTCATTCCTAGTTCATACTTTTTAATTATTAATTTGGATTCATCTACATCTTATAGATTACAATTTAGAAATTGATATTTAAAAATGCCTCCTAGAATTAGAAAATATGAATCTGGATATGAAAAACGAATGAAGAAAAAAAACAGATGAGTATAATTTCAAAATATTGGATGTGATTTTGATGCTCTTGGTGTATTAGTCGAAGAAGAATTGCATTTTAGTATGAAGTATAATTATAAAATATGATATTACTTTTTGTTTTATTGTTAGTATTTTTGTATTAAATATTAGGGCCTCCGATTTTTCTTTTAAACAAGGCCTCTCATTTGTCAGGACCGGGCCTGTGGTGGACCAGGAGAGCTTTATCCGGCAGAGGATCGCCAAAGCCAGTAAGCAGCCCAAGAAGTTTCACAAGGAGAATTGGAGAACAGTGAGAAAGCGAGCACGATCTCACAGAGATGAAGTGCCACTGCTTGGCCGGTAAGGCGGCCCGTTTGCACCGAAGCCTGATCTTGACGAACTTGAATGATCTCGACTTGATGCTTGATTGACAATTCACAATTAAAGTAATTGAACAATTAGACTATTTTTTATTTTTTTGCATGGAAATCAATGTTTTATTTCTTCTACTACGTATTATAAAAGTTACATTTCGACTTGCCTGCAGTTACATTGCATATGAATGTGAGTTACATTTTATTACACACAAGTTATATCACCCTGCTACGGGAAACAAACAAAAGAATTATTGTTCACGTGTGTTATTGTTCACGCGTGAATTAATTGTGGGAGGATCATGCTCAGCATGGGGTCTCTCCCACCATATACCAACTGTATCTTGGGGAAGTCACTCGATTAATAGACAATATTGTTAGTTGTTAGTTGTTAGTTTGCTACACACTTCTCTCATTGATGGAGTATATGGGTCTGAGCCCCAGGACCCACATACTCGGAAGAACAGAGCACAAGACAACAGAGTGGCGCCCTCGTCGGCCAAGACCCCCCCGTCGGCCGAAAAGGTGCCAACTCAGATTACGGTCCTAAGTCTAAGGGACTCAGGTGCCCTCGTCGGCCGCGCCCTCGTCGGCCGTGCCCTCGTCGGCCACGCCCTCGTCGGCCACGAAGACCTCCCAGAATCAGATCCTATACTTACTCATTTGTACAGCCCATTAGAGGCTTTGTATTCGGCCCAGTAGCGGTCCAGTTGTAAATGGGCCTCCCAAGCCCAAGGCTTGGGAGCCCAACCCTAATTTTCTCTATAAATACTCCCCTTGGGAG